TATACCCTGCTGCCACTTGCCCAGCCAGGGCGGGGGGTTGGGGCACGGGATGGGGGTGCAACAGGGCAGGGAGCAGGGGGTATGCCCTGCTGCCACTTGCCCAGCTGCAGCAGGGTGGCACAATGCAGGTGTGGCTCGCTCCAGGCAGAAGGGGACAAGCAACACCAGGGCACAGCCCCTGCTCCCAGCACTGCTGTGCCTGCAGCCTGCCCTCCCCTCCAGCCCGGTTGGGCAGCTTGTCCCAGGCCCAGCCCCAATCTCTCCCACACCCCTTCCCTGCCCTCTCTGCCCATCACAACAGACTTACCAGCAGGAGGCAGCTGTGTCCAGTGTGGTGAGGACTGCTGCCTGTTTAGTCTATGGCTGAATCTCCGAAGCGGAGCCAAATTTTTAGATCCAATTCAGCAGAATCGAATTGGGACAGTGATTTGAATCTCTGAATTGAATCACTGTCTCTCCGAATCAGCTGAATCCAAAACCAAAGCAAATACTTTCTGCTTTACACAGGCCTACCAGTCATCTCATCACAGAAGGCAATCAGGATGGTTAGACATGACTTGCCCTTGGTGAATCCATGCTGCCTTTTCCTAATCACCTTCTTCTCCTCCAAGTGCTTAGAAATGGATTTCTTGAGGATCTGCTCCATGATTTTTCTGAGGTGAGGCTGACCAAGTTCCCCAGATCCTCCTTCTTCCCTGTCTTAAAGATGGGCATTATATTTGCCCTTTTCCAATCATCTGGGACATCTCCCAATCTGCTGTATTTTCTCTGAGAATAAGAAAATTCTAATGTTTTGGAAGGTCTGGCTGGCTTTATTGGGGCTGAGAACATGACAAATGAAGAGAGAGCATTAATTATATTATGAAAAGTACAGAAGATGAAAAAGTCTTCTTTCCCTGTTTTCCTAGTACTAACCTAAAATATTAAGATATATCAAATATTTTAAATAAAATATTTGTGTAAACCAAGAGGATAATTTTTTTTATAACAAATTAGCTCATGGACAAACAGGACAGAAATGGACAGAGCTAACAGTACAAAATTTACCACAAACTTGTGTTTGAGGAATAAGCATATTCCCTTAAGCATTAGTTTGAAAAGGTGTCCAAGTCACACATGTAACTCCTAACTTTACATCTCTGGTTGTAGTCTCATGGAATTAGTATTTTATTAGATAAATATTTACCTAACTGTAAGTAACTCATACAATACCATCATAAATTGATATTACTGTCTATGTCTTAAATTCTGGTACACAACTGCCTTTCCCACACAGAATTCCACTGAATTAGTGATTTGACGACGTAAATAGGGCTCCATGCAAAGAAAAGAATTCGCAGGATCAGGGCCTAAGATTTAGGAGGCATATTACCTGTACTCTATTGCATTAGATCAGCGGTTCTCAATCTTTTAGACTCAAGGCACCCCTTGGAAAATGTCAGCTCATAGCTATCACTCATGTTTTTGATTGCAGAAAAATAATAGAGCAATTCTTCTGTTGCAAAGAACTCAGGAACAACATAATGGGTCACAACATACTTGACACTATGGATTCCTATTTGAGGTTTCTTGGTTTATTTTGTGAATTGTGTGTAGGTGTTCACAAACCTAACCCTACAAATATTGCTTGGCACATCATGGCATCCTTAAAAGGATTTGATGGCATTCCAGGGTGCTACAGCACTCTGGTTGAGAATCACTGCATTAAACCATTAGACCTTAATTTCCAACTAGTTATTTTAACATGTATTTCTGAAATAAGATGGCAAATTTATGATACCTACAATGGCATCCTGTAGACAGGTTTCCTTTGCTATACAAACAAATTAAGCTATCACTTATCCTTTGATACACTGCAGAACATTTTTATATAACACAAAGTTTGTAACCAAACTGTTAGTTTGATAGTCTTGAACTATCACAGTCGAGGGGTAAGTGTAAAGACAGTAAGACATGTTTAATTAGCTGTTATTCAAGCCATGCCAGCCTACCTTGTTTTTTGGATTGGATGTGTTCATTACACTTCGCGTCTCCTTCCCAGTGTAAATGACAACACCAATTACTGTTCCTAGAAAAATGAAAATGGTTGAAAATGAAAGCAAATACACTGCTAAAGAGTGAAATTAACAATTACAAACTTACAATCCTATAAACAAAGCCACTTTTTAAGCAAAAATGTTATATAAACCGAAGTTCTTTTAAAGTACACATAGAAGGTGGGACAGGGTGGCAGCCTTAGACCCTAGCACATGTTACACATAAGATATGATTAATCAATTAATCACGTCTTATGTTCCCTCCTGGCCATGCATTAATGCAAATAATAGTGTGATAAAACAAGGAATAAACCACAAAGTTATTAGACAAAAAATGCGTAATAACGTTGTGACTAGTTCCTATCATACCATTAATTGAACATGTGGCCAGGCTGGGGCTCCCACCCACGGGTCAACCCCCCATGGCTGGAAGTCCTGTCAGGTGATCTGCTCCTGAGACTAAGAGCGCTATCAGCTGATCCAGGCTCCCAGATGTGGGAATGCACCATTTGCTCCAGTGGCTGGGAACCTCCAGCTGATATGGCTCCCAGCTGCACAGCTATAAAGCATGATGGGATTTGATGCTGGACAATCACACCTCCTGCTGTGCATGTGTGGCATGGCAGGAAGAGTGACTGTGAGAATCCCGCATCAGATCCCATCAAACCTTCACTTGCATATCTGCCAGGGGCCTTAGAGTAAGTGAGGCATAAGCTTTTGGAAGCAACCACTGATGCCTGCATCTGACTAAGCAAGTTGTAGCCTACAAAAGCTCATACTTCTTTGAACTAGTTAGTCTCTAAGGTCTTTCTGACTGACTTCAGACTAATACAGCTACAGTACACACAATAATATCATGCATTTTTTAAAATTTTAGCCCCTATAACAACAACAAAATAAAACATCTGAACAATAATTTGTGAACTATGACATGCTGCTTCTAATTTTACCCGATTATTTTTATGTAATCCACAAAAGAAAATGAGCTGGTAATTCCTTTTGATTGATATCACAGAGTATGATAATAACCTTTCATTAACATCCTTGAAAATAACAATACCCTTTAAACTGATGCTAATGGATGTAACAACATACTTTAACATTTAATGGTTAAAAAAATTATGTTTGAACTGAAAATCTACAAAAGCAAAATATTTAAAGTTTTAGCATTAGTGGAAAATAAATTAATTAGATGTTGCTGAAAATATGCAGCACTATACTGAAAATCACAACTAGTTCTGCTGTCATTTATGACCTAGTCAAGGTGTAGCTAATTTGAGCTACACAGAAGAATTTCTGCCTTCTATTGCTTAAGTCATCCATTTTTTGAGTTTCAAGTACATTATAAAGTAAAAACTGGCTAATGAAAGGTGACAAAAACTGATTTCAGCATTGTTGTATATGTTGGTTATCACTTAAGGAAAAGTTACAATAGTTTCATAATACAGTTTTTACATTGTTTCTGGTCCAATACCAAACCTTTGTCTGACAAGATTCTTTGGGTAAATGTGACATATTTTATTCGACCAACTAAATAGTCTCCCTATGCCTGAAGAAGGATGTTTGTGCCCGGAAAGCCTGTAAAGAACATTTTTTTCAACTATTTAGTTGGTCTAATAAAAGATATCACATTTACCCAAAGAACCTTGTCTGCCTATGTCCTTAGACCAACATGGGTACAACAAATGAACCTTTGTAACTTTTTCGTGGTGATTGCAATCTTTTGTGGCTGTTTGTTATGAAATGGATTACATTACCAGGTTTCATTTGAATCTGCCTTAACTTTTTTGAAAACTGAAAAATTATAAAAAGGCAGAATGCTAAAAATGGCTGTCTGGAAACTCATTACACTT